GATGGCCTCTCTAAACTGGAAATCCTTGACAGATTGCTTTATATATATATATGACCCTATGTTTTTAGTAACAAGCCATATTATCTGTTACTGGGAATATGCTCAGTATTTGATTTTTGAATGAATAGTAGAAGCAAAAAAAATAACTCGCGAATACAAAAAAAAAAAAAAAAAAAAAAAAAAAAAAGAACTTGTCCTGTCAACTGTAATTTGATGGCCTCTCTCTAAACTGGAAATCCTTGACAGATTGCTTTATATATATATATGACCCTATGTTTTTAGTAACAAGCCATATTATCTGTTACTGGGAATATGCTCAGTATTTGATTTTTGAATGAATAGTAGAAGCAAAAATTTTTGATACAATGTGTTTTTTTAATGTAACTAAAGTATACCTGGGCTTGATGGAGGCTTTGTTGCAAACATCAAACTGAAATTGGTCGCCTTCCAGAGCATGGACTGAGGTCCTGATTCTGTCACTTCTTAGTGTTGTCACCTTGGCAACAAGTTTATTTATCCTCCTCTCATGTAGAATGGAAATAATACCACTATATATCTCGTAGTGTTGTTGGGAGGACTAATATTAAAATATATTCAAATTGCTTGGAATGATAGCGGGCACCCTGCAAGGGCTATTAAAAAGTGTCAGTTTTTATTACCATTATTAGGATTATTATCGCTATCATTCAAGGAGTCAGGAAAAGCTTTTCAGAGAATGTTATAATTCAGAGAATGTTATAATAAGCTGAGAATGAATGAAAATAAATTAGCTATTTTGAGGACAACATTTTCCCAAGTGCTTTAATAACATATCCCTTTCAGTTGAAACCTTACCCATTCTTTAATTCTAACCACTCCTTCCTTGCTGCTGTCTTTTACAAAAATAACTCTCAAATGACTGCATCTTTGAATCAAGTAGGGAGATGTTAAAAGTCCTAATTTTTTGCACCATTTGTGTGAGGTGTTTGCTTTGTTTGGTTGGAGTGAATTTTGGTCACCAACTGTTCTTAAAGTTCCCATGGAAATACCAAGGGGCCCCAGGGTTGAGAACCATTGCTCTCTAAGAAGCCTTTCCTAAGTACTGCAATTGGTTGCAATGACTGCTTTTTCTTGTTAACTATAGTTTTTATCACTTCGTTTTGCATTTATTCTATTTTGTTTGTAACTCAAGCTATTTGTGTGCTTGTCTGACTAGCATCATGTACCTAATAGATAATGAGGTTGTTGAAATTACAAACTGAATTTCATTTATTGATATAGTCCCCACAGTATTTAGGACAAGTTGTACGTAGAAATATTTTCTGAGTTAAAATTACTAGCACCTTCTGGAAGAATGAGTGTTTCTTATCAGGGTAGCAAAAACACTTGGCTTTTGATTAAAGTCTGATTTGGAGAGTTGCTATTTTCTACCAATTGAACAACAATTTTTAAAAATATGTTTAAAAATTACTGTTATTGTAAAGATCAGAATTAAAACAGGATGAAGTGATTGATGATAATTAGAGAATACTTTCTTTCAAAGAAGACTCCTAGACAGTGAACTGAAAAAAAAAGTCACAAATAGAGAAGTAATTCTCTCTCAGCCCTAGAAAGTAGAAATCATAGCTATTTTTAATTTTATTTTTACAGATCTTGATAGATGCATATAAAGAGTACTCAAGTCATTTGTAAGAAAATGGATATATCTTGAGACTATAATGTTAAGTGAAATAAAACAGAAAATAAACAAATTTCATATGGTTTCTCATATGAGTAAAAATAAATATCAAAATAAAGGGTAGATAATAGGAAATAGGGAGATATATCTTTTGCAAAAGTCAAGGGGGCCAAGAGATGGAGGGGAGAGTTTAAAAAAAATACGGTATGTTACATAGAGGTATCATGTCCCCATGATGAGCAGAGTCACCATGTACTGTAAACTGTACTACTACTAATGAAAAACCTTTCATTTAAACTCGTTAGGTTTTAAATTTATAAAGTTCAATATTATTTTTCAAAACCTTCTTTATTTGCCCTATTATCTAAATTTCCTTTTGTTATTAATATCTAATTTCATTCAATAGTTGTCATAGGACATGTAGTCCTTTGTATGATTCATTTAAAAAATTAATTGAGTTTATTGGTCCATTTTAGGTATACAGTAAAATTACATTCATCATTGTGATCTTGTACCTTTACATGACAGGTCTTGGTTCGCATGTTTTCACCTCATTCCTGCCCTCCCTTCACCCCCTCCTCCCCTCCCATTTACAAGTGCTTTATTTCCATTTTTTCATTTTCTCATATTTTTTCTTTTCCCTTATTACTTTTTCCCTACTCTTCCCACTTTCCCTACACCTTTAGCTCTTTTCTTCCTATTTCACATTGTCAATTATCACATTAGGATCTTATGTACTATTATAGCTTATTCACACCAGAGAAACTATTCAGTATTTACACGTGTGTGGCTTATTTATTTCACTTAGGAGCATATCCTCAATATTTATCCATTTTCCTATGAATGAATCTAATTTCTCATTCTTTATGGCTGAGTAGTATTCCATTTTATAGAAAAAGTCTTCTTTATCCAGTTTCCAATTGATGGGCAAATGGGCTGTTTCCAAGTTTTAGCTATTACAAACTGTGCTGCTATAAACATAGGTGCACATATATCACTGTGATGATTCTTTAAATTCTTTTGGAAAGATACCCAGCAGAGGGATGGCTGGGTCAAATGGAACCTCTAGTCCCAGCTCTTTGAGGTATTTCCATATTGATCTCCATAGTGGTTGCACCAGTCTGCACTCCCATCAACAATGGAGAAGGGTTACTTTCTCCCCACAACCACGCCAACATTTGTTACTGGTTCATATTGGTTGATTTCCTGAGACAACCTACAATGTGGGAAAAAAATTACCAGCTGCTCCTCAGACAAAGGACTATTATCTAGATTACATAAAGAACTCAAATCAACCAGCCCGCCCCAAATATAAGGATCCGATTCAAAAATAGGCGTCTGAAATGAGCAGACATTTCTCAGACAAAGAAGTGAAAGTAGCAAGTAAGTATATGTAAAAATGTCCCACATCGCTGGTAATTCAAGAGATGCAGATGAAAACAACACTGAGATTCCACCTCACCCCAGAAAGAATGGCTGTTTTCAAGAAATCAACCAATTTTAAATTTTTATTTGCAATTTGTTTTGTCAACTAACATAGGGCCCATGCTGAAGAATACTCCACACACTTAAATAGGGTGTGCATGCTACACATAGAGTTTGGACTGTCTTAAATATATCTCTTGGTCTGCAGAGCTGTCCAAGTCACGCATTTTCTTTTGAATGTTCCATCTACTTTTGTTCATTATTAAAAATGAAGTACTGAATTTTCCAACTATTTGTTAAAGGGTATATTTTCCTTTTCAGTTCTGTCAGCTTTTTGTTTTCTGCATTTCAAGGTTCTGATACTATGTGTATGTGTATTTATAGTTGTCTCTTTTTGATTGACTTATCATTACAGTGCTCTTTGTCTCTAGTAAAAAGTTTTGCTTTAAAGTCTATTTTAGGATAGCCACTCCAGATAGATGTTTTTGTGGGGGGAGGATAAATATTTGCATGGAATATCTTCTGTGTTTTTACTTTTAAATTATTTGTATGTCCAAGAACAGAGAACATTTTTGAACTTCATATTATATAGGTATATGATTTTTAATCTATCATGTCAATTTGTCTTTTAGAATAATTAATCCAGTTATAATAAGTGATAGTGTAGGGTTTACTCTACAATTTTAGTATTGTCCAAATATCTTATCTGTTCCTTTATTCTGTCTTACTACTTTCTTTTGTTGTAAATGTATATTTTCTAGGGTACCATTTTTTTTTCTTTTTTTCATACTGGGGATCGAACTCTGATTCTTGTGCTTACAAGGCAA